GCCGAGCCGAGCCGAGCCGAGCCGCGCTCCCACCGCCTCTTTCCCCGCGGCCATGGAGGAGCTCTGATACAATAAGGCCTGGGTGCTTTCCTCTGCCCCCCACCCCTCTCCCCCCCCCACCCCACCCCCAAGAAAGAAAGAAAGAAAGAAAAAAAGAAAGAAAGAAAGAACAGAAAATCGGGGACTTCTACGCCTCCCTCTCCTCTCCTCTCGTCTTTTTGGCTACTTTCTGCTGGGGATTGAGACGCATTTGATATTTTCTCTCAATATTGATATTTTTCCTCCCCGCCCTGCCGTCCCTTTGCCTTTAGGATTATAATCCCGATCGTATTCCCGGTAAGTAAAGACGGTTTGCCGCCGACCAGAGCCAAAAGGACCGTTTTGATTGTTTCTCCTTTCCCCCCCCCCTCTCGGTTCCCACCACCCGTTCACCGCTCCTTTTCGCCTGGCACCCCAACGGGAAAGAGAAAGAAAGAGAAAGAAAGAGAAAGAAAGAGAAAGAAAAAGAGAAAGAGAAAGAAAGAAAAAGAAAGAAAAAGAAAGAGAAAGAAAGAAAGAAAGAAAGAAAAAGAAAGAAAAGAAAGAAAGAAAGAAAGAAAGAAAGAAAGAAAGAAAGAAAGAAAGAAAGAAAGAACAGCGGGGCGTAGCAGAGAGAGAAAAATTCCCTGCCAGATAGACCCGTACAAAAGCCGGAGGGGCGGGTGGGTATTTAGATGGATAAAGCAAGGAACGAGCGGCTTTCAATAGCCCCAGTTGAATTGCTGGTTTGAATTTTCCCCTTCTTTTTTCCCCCTTTTTCTTCTCTTCGGCGTCTTCTTTTTAAGCTTTTTTTTTTAAAGGTCGGAGCGCCCGGAAAATAAGATTGCGGGTGGTTGATCTAGTGCAGAGGAAGGAACGGGTGGGCGAGGAGAGGTACGGTTTGAGGTCCTGAGAGATTTCACAAACAGAAATTGGTAGGAGAGGACCAGGGGTCCGTCTCTCTCTTTCCCCCCCCCCTCTCCCTCCCTCTCCTTCTCTCTCCCTCCCTCCCTGTCTCTTTCTCTCTCTTTCTCCTTTCTTCTCCCTCTTCTCTTCCTCCTTCCTTTCCCTTTTCGCCCCTCTCTCTGAGTCGCGCCCGCCGCCTTCTCGGCTGAAGGACGGACCCCACCGCATTGTTCGGGAGGATGATCCGCGCACCCTGGTTTCCCTTCGGCTGCTGCTGCCGCCCGCCGTAAACGCGGCGACCTCCAGCGTCCTTCTTCTAAAAGGGGAAGCCCGGAGCCACGGGGTTGTTTAGGTGTGCGTGCGGACGGGGCCTCGAGAGGGTGCGCACGGCGGGGATTCCTTCCTTCCCAAGCCGCCTCGCCCCCGTTTAATTCCGCCGGGCGATTTATTTCCGACGCTGGTGTTAAAAGTTCCCCCCCACCCCCCCCCCCCCCCCAAAAAAAAAAGTCGCGGCGACTTTCTGCTTTTTGAAAGCCCCCATTGTTAACGGTAAGAGGTGTCGCCTTGCATCTGATGAGGCCGGTTGGTTTAGTTCATTTATTTTAATTTAATTTAATTTATTTATTTTTGGCATAGTATTATTCCCTCCCTCCAAATCTTCCCCAGCTGTAAACACGCCGGATTCGAAAATAAAAAAAAAAAGATAACGAGGACATCAAACCAGGGCGAACCATTTTCCTCTCAGCAAATCGCTGTTTTTTTGTTTTTTTGTTTTCCTTTCGATGATTATTGCTGGATGCCTTTTGCTTTTTCCAACTCGCCGACTCGGGCTAAATTTATAAAAGGCTCCGCTGGCCCGATCCTGACGCGTGAGAAAAGGCGGAAGGGTTCCACATTTGACGGCTCATCCGAGTTTAAGAAAAGTCCCCCCCCCCCTTTTTTTTTCCGCCGCTGCTCCCCGCGAAGCAAAACGTTTGCCTGGAAAGGGGAGAGAGAAACCCGCTTTCTTTGCCCGGGATCACAATGTCGGGAGAAAGCCGCTTTCGGGCGGCCCCTTCCGGAAGAGTCCCGGCTCTTCCTCTTCCTACTTGGGTGGGCCTGGGGTGGGTGAGATTTGCCAGCTGAGGTTCTGGGGGGGGGGGAAAGGCCTCTTTTAAGGGCTAATTAAATTTCCCTGTCCCGAGCGATCGCCAGGGAGGAAGGATAGGAACGTGGGAGAAGGCTGCGTGTGAAATTAATGCAAGAAGAAGAAGAAGAAATAATTACCAGGATGAGTCCGAGACAATTGCTTTCTTTCTGTTCCGTTTGGCTGGTGCTATACTATTATGGTTAATCTTCCATTCGATTCACAGTCTGGGATTGCTTAAAAAAAAAAAAAACTTAACGGTTCAAATCTTAACCAAGGACCTAAGAGCTGTTAAGGTAACGCCTGAGTACAGAGGCAGTTCCGACTAGGGTGGGTTTTGCTTTTTGTTTTGCAAAGTCAGGATATTCAAGTCTGATACATTCAAATTTTCCATGTATCCAATAAAGAGCCCTTTGGGTATTGCTCCAAGAGCTCCTTATTACTACTGGTACAACCGTTGAGTTCTTCCTTCCATAAGTCGCTTCAAGTTGCAAATCACGATATTTTGATATATATTTTTTCCTAGCTGCTTGTCTTCAATTCGTGCATCAGCGGGTGTTGCAATATCAGGCTGTTTTCTTTTCCATAATAGTGATGTCAGGTGTGTTGTGGCCAGATGTCGTCATCATCATCATTTATTACTATTACTATTATATTCATTAAACATGAAACTCAAGTCAACTGAACATTTAACAATGTATCACAAATAGACTATTATTGACTGGTACTGATGGTTGATACGGGATGCTGCCAGAATCCTAGCCATCAACGCAGTACATTATTGTTGTTATTATTATCATATCATCATCGTCGCTGATGCAGCTGTTGTTATTACTAAGTTGATGGTGTCAAAAGGCGGGTTTGAAACCAAGTTCTTGCCGCGATTAGGTTGTTTTCCACGCGCTGATCTAACTCGGGTTCTAGTCAGCCGCGTGTTTGCCTTGCCTGGATCCCGCGTAAAAGACGGAAAGGGGCGAGGCGCCCGCCTCCCATAAATAAGCGTGTCGCGGTAAGAAATAATTACCTCTGCTCGCTGCTTTTAATTAAAGTCTCCCAGGGAAACTGCTGGATTATGGTAATGAGCCGACATACGTTCCCTCTTGTCGGCTTCCCTGAAAGGTTAGCTGACATCAAATCAGCGACATTGACAAGGCGCTCGAAATCCATTTGGGCGCCCGACCCGTCCGTCACCAGCCCCGCATGGGGCGGGGAAGGAAGGAAGGAAGGAAGGAAAGAAGGAAGGAAGGAAAGAGAAAGAAAGGAAGGAAGGAAGGAAGGAAAGAGAAAGAAAGGAAAGAAGGGAAGGGAAGGGGAAGGAAGGAAGGAAGGAAGGAAGGAAGGAAGGAAGGAAGGAAAGAGAAAGAAAGGAAGGAAGGAAAGAGGAAGGAAGGAAGGAAAGAAGGACAGGCCAGCCCTGGGTGGGGGCAAAAGGGGGACCCTCGAGATTTTGCCAAGCTCAAAGCCCCCCGGAGCGAAACGCCGAAGCTGGAGGGGAGAAGGAGATTTTCCCCAGAAGTTCCGAGCTGACAGTAGGGCAGTTAGGAATAATAGAGAAGCGGCCCTTCTGCTCCTCCGCACTGAATTTCCCCCAAAAGGCGGGAAAGAATGAAGGGGGAAATCCACGGAGAGGTTTCCTTGGCCCTCTGGCCTCTTCCTAGGCTCTTGCCGCAACGTTGTTTTAGAGGAAGTCTCGTTTTTCCTCCCACCCTCCTTTCTCTCGTGTTGGGTTCATCTTTTTCGGGAGGGCAATGCCCGTTTGGTTAGCTCAACCAGAAGCACCCAAACGGGCAGTTTTTGCTCTTCCCAGTTAGAAACCAAGCCGTTCAGCCGGAGGTTTTAGAGTAGAGTAGAGTAGAGTAGAGTAGAGTAGAGTAGAGTAGAGTAGAGTAGAGTAGAGTAGAGTAGAGTAGAATAGAATAGAATAGAATAGAATTTTTTATTGGCCAAGTGTGATTGGACACACAAGGAATTTGTCTTGGTGCAAATGCTCCCAGTGTCCATAAAAGAAAAGATACATTTGTCAAGAGTCAAGAATCATAAGGTACAACACTTAATGATAGTCACAGGGTACAATAAGTAATCAAATCATACTAGGAAACAGTCAATATAAATCGTAAGGATACAAGCGACAAAAAAATAGTCATACTGTCACAAGTGGGAAGGGATGGGTGAAGGAAGGATGGGAAGATTAATAGTACTAGCAATAGTAACGCAGACTTAGTAAATAGTTGAGAGCGATCGGTTTGGCCTTGGGCTGCGCTGCCGTCGCCCTGAATCCAAATGCCGGCTAAAGTTTTTTTTTTTTCTCCTATGGGCGGTTTGAAGGTGAGAAACGCTCCCGGGCCTTGCACGTGTATTGGGAGAGAGGAAAACAGCCCCCTCCGCGTCCGGGCGTTTCTTTGGGACGGGAAGTTAGGAAAAGTAGAGCGCAGGCTTCTCCGTTGATCCCTCCACCGAGTTGGAGTCTCCGTTTCTAGGAGGGTTTTAACTTTGGGGAAAGGGATGGGTTTTGCATTGAATTCAGGACATCGATTTTGTCGCTTGTATCCTTACGATTTTTATTGACTGTTTCCTAGTATGATTTGATTGCTTATTTGTACCCTGTGACTATCATTAAGTGTTGTACCTGATGATTCTTGACTCTTGACGAATGTCTCTTTTCTTTTATGTACACTGAGAGCATTTGCACCCAGACAAATTCCTTGTGTGTCCAATCACCCTTGCCCAATAAAGCTTTCTTTCCTTCTTTCTTTCCTTCTTTCTTTCATTCATTCATTCATTCATTCATTCATTCATTCATCTGCCGGTTCCTTTTGGGAAAGGGTTCGCAAAACGCAAAAGGGACTCCATTCCCTGGGAAGGGGGGGGCGGTGTCCCCGGGACCCACGGCTTTCTTCTTTGGAGAATGTTTCCTTGACCACCACCGTCCTCTTCTTTCCCGTTGCCAGCCATGGACGAAAGCGGGGTGCCCCGGAGCATCTGGGATGGAGACGCCAAAGCCGTCCAGCAATGCCTGACGGACATTTTCACCAGCGTCTACACCACCTGCGACATCCCGGAGAACGCCATCTTCGGTCCCTGCGTGCTCAGCCACACCTCGCTCTACGACAGCATCGCTTTCGTGGCGCTCAAGTCCACGGACAAGAGGACCGTCCCCTATATATTCCGGGTAAGGGGGGGGGGCAAGCAAAGTGGGGGGGAGGGAGGAGGATGGAGGACTGAGAGAAGCCAAATCCTCGCCGTTGGCCCGGAAAGACTGACTTAGCAGGGCTGAAATGGAGGCGAGGCGATTTCCCTCCCATCGGTCCTCTCCGCGGGCCAGAACTCAGCCTGTCTGGCCTCATCGGAGCGAGGGGCGGCCCGGGATTCTCGCCTGCCCAGGACCGGCCTGCTTTTTAACTCCGCTGAATCAGTTCAGGAGCGAGAGGGCAGGAGCAACCAGGTAAGGAGGAAAGGAAAGCCAATCGGACGACCGACGAAGCGTTTTGTTGAGGCTAGTCTGCTTGGGAAACCCAGCCCGTTTGCTTAGTCCCAGGTGTGGTGACAACGCAGCCAGTAGTGCATTAACCATTAAGCAGACTGAACACACGTGTTTAGGGCACCAGGCCAGTGGTGGGATTATTATTATTATTATTATTACTACCGGTTCTGTGGGCGTGGCAGGGAAAGCTTACTGCAAAATCCCCCTTCCCTCCTCCCTCCTGAGTGAAGGTTACTGCAAAGTCCCCATTCCCTCCCCACCCCACTGACCTGCTTTCCAGCTCCGTTCTCCTGTGCAGGGCAACCAAAGAAGACCCAGCCGACCAGTTGGGATTCAATAGGAGGCAGAGAATAGATGGGGTTGGCGGAGCCAGTCAGAGGTGGGATTTGCCGGTTCTCCGAACTACTCAAAATTTCCGCTATCGGTTCTCTAGAACTGGTCAGAACCTGCTGAATACCACCTTTGCACCAAGCCCAAAGGGGGCACCACAAAAACTTTTATGTAGCCTAAACTTGGCTTCGTTTGTACAGTATGTACAAAGGAGGGGAAGCACCAAGATTTGTCAGTGCTTAGGGCACCAGTGAGCCTTAATCTGCCACTGAAGGCAGCAAACGGCCTCATTCAATACTCTGCTATCTTCCGAAGCAGACGCGTTGTCGGAATTGCCCGCCTCCCGAAAAAAAGAAAGGGCAAAAGAAAGGGGAAGCGTCCATTTTTAGCTCCTTCGCGCTTAAAGCGCAAATGAGCCCGCGGGACAAAACGCAGGAATCGTAGGAGATGCTTAAGGGAATGTTCCAGCTCTCTCCCCTCCCCAAAAAAACACCCCAGCCTTTGTCTCTCTGCGGGGTTTAGAAGCTGGGGGAGAGGCGGAGAGAAACAGGACTTGATCTCGCTCCCTTCCACACCAGGCGCCACCTGCCCCCGGACAGTCCGATGCGTCGCATCCGGAGGCTTTGGCAATCCGGCTGCGCCTGTCTCTTTGTCAGCTGCCGCTTCTTGCTCGCCTGCTGACCCGTCCACCGGCCAAGTCGGGACGAGAAACGTGCAAGGGTGAAGCCGGGTGCGTCCGGGTTTTAGGCCGCCCTCAAACTGGGACCAGTTTTCTGGGCGGCTCACGTGAACTCGCACCCCAGCTCCAGCTGTCTTTAACGTTCCCGCTGGGCTTTCCCCCCCTCCCTTTTTGGCTCCGGAGAATCGGATCCGGCAGCTCAGTGTGTAAAGTTTGGGCGAGGGTAGAGACGCGCTCCCCTCCCTCAAACGACGGGCCCCGTTAACCGAAGTGAATAAAAAACAGGTTTCTTTCTCCGTTTGTTTTTTAATTAACTGCTGGAACTTTAGTTTCTCGAGCCGCTAAAAGAAAAGCTAGAATCGGGTGTAGAGAAACCTGCTTCCAAACAAGGCTGCGCAAAATATCTCAAGAGTCGTTGGGAAGCTCCAGGGACCTGGAGGGGAAGGGCTCAAAACTGCTCCCGGCCACAGGCGGATTTGCTGGGCCAGGGCTGAATTACGACGCCTTGCATTTCCGGCCAATTTTTGGAGAGGGGCCCCTCCCTCTACGTTGACCTCCTTGGCTTGGCCTAGTTCGCTTTCCTGTACGGGATCTCAAACCTTCATGTACGTCTCTCTCGCTGGAAAGTGCCATCCAGGTGCGGTTGCAACCGCTTCCCTAGGAGAGCGAGACGACACAACCCCATTGGATCCCCAGATCCCGGCCAAGCTGTATATATAGCCTGTCACTTATGGGGGGCGGGCCGTCAGAAAGTCAGGGGAAAGCTTGCCCGACTGTTCAAAACACAGCCACGGGTTACGATCCCAAAATGAAGCAGAAAGTTAGCTGTTTTCTTCCTTTCTTTATCACTCCCGCCCAACTTCCGCCTGGATGTCCAAGCTGGGTGTTCAATAATTGGGCCGTGGGTCCCTCTAACTCAGTAGTGTATTCACCATGAACCAGACTAAGCACGTGCTCAGGGCACCAGGCCCAAAGGGGACACCACAAAGACGTTTGTACCAGTGGTGGGATTCAATTTTTTTATTACCCGTTCTGTGGGTGTGGCTTGGTGGTGTGGCAGGGGAAGGATAGTACAAACTGACCTGCTTTCCAGCTCCGTTCTCCTGTGCAGGGCAACCAAAGAAGACCCAGCTGGGACTCAATGGGAGGCAGAGAATAGATGGGGTTGGCGGGGCCAGTCAGAGGTGGGATTTGCCGGTTCTCCGAACTACTCAAAATTTCCACTACCGGTTCTCCAGAACTGGTCAGAACCTGCTGAATACCACCTCTGGTTTGTACAGTAGGTAGGAGGGGCACCAAGATTGGTCGGTGTTTAGGGCACCAGCGGGCCTTAATCCGCCACTGCCTCTACTCAAGCTCCGCCGCCTCTCCCTTCTCCCCCCCCCCCACCCCCCTTAGGTGGATACCTCAGCGGCCAACGGCTCCTCCGAAGGCCTGATGTGGCTTCGCTTGGTCCAATCAGCTCGGGACAAAGAGGAACAGAACCTGGAGGCCTACATCAAGAACGGACAGTTGTTTTACCGCTCCCTGCGGAGAATTGCCAAAGATGAGGAGTTGTTGGTGTGGTACGGGAAGGACCTGACCGAGCTGTTGCTGCTGAGCCCCATGAGGTCCCAGAGCAAGATGAAGGGTAGGTGACAATACATAGGAGGCGTAGTGGTCTCTCGCAGAGCGTCCCCCCCCGCCCCCCAGCGGATTTAGGAAGCGAGAGGAGGAAGCGAGAGGAGGAGGAGGAGGAGGAGGTAACCATCCTTCTGGGAAACCCCAGCCCTGCCATCCTGGACTGGCAAAGGAGCGAGCGGGTCAAGCGAATATCCCAGACACACATTGATGCTTAATTACTGTAATCCACAGCATCCCATTTGAAACGCCGGATTAGCTGAAATGCTGCCATCTGGTAAGATGTTTAAATACTCAGGAGTTGTGGAAAGCCTCCTCCCCCCCCCCCCCACACGCTCTCACGTGCGGTCCCAATTTCCGAGGGATCCACTCGCGAGGTTAGGATCCACTTGCAGAAGTAAATCTGCTTTTTCTACCATTCGATCTCGCCCCTCTGAGGGGCCTTCGTGGTTTTTTTTAGCCCTTCTCAGCTCAGCTCTCCACACACACCCCTCCCAGAGAGAGGAAGCCAGGGAGCAACCGTTGGTTTACCACCCTGCCCCCTTAGGAGAGGAGGGAAATACCTCCCAGTGTAGGCAATCTAACTGTTCGCTTGTTGCTAGGATCATGGCTCTCTGTGTCATCCAGCAAGATGCCTGAAGTATTAATAGAGCTTTAAAAATCCTTAGTTAGATCACACCTGGAACATCCAGCTTTGGTCACAATACAAAAAAAAAAAAAAAAGATGTTGAGACTTTTGGAAAAAGTGCAAAGAAGAGCAATTAAAATGGCTAAAGGCCCAAAGACTAAAACATAAGAATGGCTGCAAGAATTGGGTATGGCCAGCCTAGAGAAAAGAAGGACTAGGGGGGACATGATTAGAATAGAATAGGATAGGATAGGAGAGGATAGGATAGAGGATAGGATAGAGGATAGGATAGAGGATAGGATAGGATATAGGATAGGATAGGATAGGATAGGATAGAGGATAGGATAGGATATAGGATAGGATAGGGGATAGGATAGGGGATAGGATAGGATAGAGGATAGGATAGAGGATAGGATAGGATAGGATAGA